TACCAAGTTTGGTTTAATAGTTGTTGAGATATTTTAATTTAAAATTTTAAAAAAACATACTAAAAACAATTTGCTTGATTTCTACTAGCACCCCTCATATATAAGTTACTTAATATAAATAGATATGAAACAAAAAACCTTAGATAGATATGAATAAGACACAATACAAAACTTTAGTAAGTTCAGATCATATCTAAGTTTTATGTTCTAATAATATATAGAACAATAAATAATATATATATAATGTAAAAAGTTATACAAATTATAATAATATATACTAATAAAGATCTGAAAACATAATCTCACCTTAACATTAAAAAATATATATATGTGTGTGTCAGAATGACCAGATATTAAATAGTTTAATAAATTCGATTATGATAAATTAGAAATCTATATAGATGTTAATTTTTGAATTATATAAGATTATAAAAATAGCAAAAAGATTAAATAGGAATTCAATCTTATATAAAAAAACCAATATTGAATTTTGACTAAAAATTTGTGAACAATCTAATCATTGTTATCAACTCCTCTAATGCATTGGTTAGTGCCAATGTCAATTACTGAGCCATCAGTATAAAAGTTAAATGTGCTATTTGTTAGATTATTTAGGACTAATGCCGTTATAGAGTAACGAAATTTGTTAGAATGGAAAACCTCTGAATAGTAACGATAAATTTTACAAAGCAAATTAAAAAATAGCATTCTCATTTACAGAATTATTTAAATCGGCTTTATAAAAATCGACTTGGTTAAGTCGACTAACGATTTTACATGTATCACTAGCTGTGCATGTAATAATCAATTCTATTAAGAATCAATGAGTTGATTTTCCGAAAAATCGATCCCCTGATCGGCTTATAACACTAACCAGTATAACCCTCTAAGTAAATTAACACAATTCTTAAATAAATAAATAAATAGCAGCTGAGTTAAGGTTATATTAAGTTTTAAGTAAGGAAATAATTAAGACTTTGGCCTTTTTTTTTATGATGAAAAGGCAGTTTTACAGAAAAAATTCTAACGTTAGGTGATTTTTTTTTTTAAAAAAAGCCTCTATTTTACTTTACAGCTGATCCTGGCTGATCAGCATCGCACTAGGGATGAATACAGTTCAAAATTATCAAAATTTTCCTGGAAATAAATAGTTTAAAGGATAATATATTATACGTACAAATATTGAATCTATATATTTTTAATTACGTACCAATTAAATTTGTTGATAATTTTAATACTAATTTAAATTATTAATCAGTATCTATCACCATAACACAAAAGCTTTAAGAACTTTCCATATAATTTATTAAATAATTCATAATATTCTTTAAAAATACGTATTTTTTATTATACAATTATTTTTTTATTAAATTATTTAAGAATAATTATTATATAATTATTTAATATATTATATAGTTTTTTTTTAATAAAACATTTGGACGTGAACGGTTGACCGTTTAATGGTTTAATGCTTAGCAATATCCTACAGCGGTAAGATCCGATTCAGTACGTGCATGTTGTAGTTTTACCATTGATGGATGTTGAAGATTTGAAGTATCAGTACTGTCCATATTATCAAGTTGAATTGTTGCAGCAGAATAATTGTTCATCATCATTCGATCAACAGTGGTAGATCCACTGCTTCTTTCACTTCTTCGCCTAGTTGATCTTTCCGGAGGATTTATAAAATAACTTCTTCTAGCCATCTTAGTAAAGTCATATATTAAGAATTTTTCCTCCATCATTCTCATTTCTTTCGAAAGTTCACTAAGGTCTTGATTGGGATTTGCACGTTTTTTAGCTTTGAGAGGATTATCTTCAAGAAGAAGTTCTTCAAGCTCATGAGTGGCATCAAAATTGGCACGTTTTGACTAAAAATAACAATGAATTAGAATAAAAATAAAAAATAAAATAAAATAAAAATAATATACAAAAAATAAATAAATATACACAGGAATTATATGACTTACATCTGGAATGAATGGAGCTTTAGCTTGTTTTGTATCAAGTTTATCCCACTCTATATCTTTGAACCATGGGTGACGTTTAATGTCTTCTATACCATTAGGACCGCATCCAAGGCGTTTGCTTATATCCCGCTCACAAAACTTTTCAATTTAAACGAAACAAGTTAATTTTTAATGTACATGAAACCCAATGAATCTAAAATATTATAAACGTACCCGTTTTAAACAATCAATACATTCTCTAGAAACCATATCATAAACATTATCAGGAAATTGAAGAGGTTCATGAAGGATTGCTTGTGTTAATTGGGCGTTCGATTTTCCACGAAACGGTCGCTAATATACAAATAAATACATACTTTAAAACAAAGAAACAACTATAATAATAATGATGATAATAAATTTAAGCAAATTTAATTAAGTTATACCTTGCTAAATAAGAGTTCATACATAATAACACCGAGTGACCACCAGTCTACTGAATCAAGGTATCCTTTTTTGGTCAGTACCTCAGGTGCTAAAGTAATAAATAAATAAATATTAGAAATAACATATTTATTTTTTAAAATTATTTTTTAAGAAACGCCTATTTCTACATGGAATTGCACATGTAGACACGTGACTTTGTAAGTAATTTTCATGTAGAAATAAGTGTTGTCTATTGTCTATTTTTGATGAGACAGGATTATTATGATATGAAGCACGTACCCATATATGCCATAGAACCAGCAACCGATGTAAGGGGCTTCCTTTCATTGAAATGAACGGCTATATTAAAATCGGTCAAATGAGCATGGCCCTTTTCATCCAAAAGAACATTATCAGGCTTTAAATCCCTACAAAATTAGAAAAAAAGATCGATATTATATTATTAAATAAAATAGAAATAAAATTCAAAAGGTTATAATTACCTATGAACAATCTTTTTAGCATGTAAATAATTTAATCCTAAACTGACTTCAGCAACATAAAATTTTACTACATCCTCTTTCATGCAAGCTTGTCGTTCTAAATGAAACCTTAAATCACCACCTAACATCAGGTCAAGTACCATGAATAGATTTTCATCGTCTTGAAAAGCGTAACGCAAATTGCATACTAGAGGATATTCAATTTCTTCTAGCAAACGGCGTTCCTGTATAATATTTTCCACAGCACGCATCTTTATACATTTTGCTTTATTGATATATTTAAGTGCATATATAACTTTTGATTTCTTGTGCTGCACTACTCGGACCTAAATAGAATAAAAGATAGTTAGATATTTAATAAATTAGGATGAATCGGATCAACAATCAAAACTATTATTAAATACCTTTCCGAAAGCGCCCTTTCCTACGGACCTTAACAAATGAAAATGCGATAACTCGACTGCATTTATGCATAAATCAATCCAAAAAAAATGATTAATAATGATAATGATAATTAATACGTAATGATAATAATAAGGTTATGTTTTTTTTTTTTTTTTTAAAAAAAAAAAAAAAAGTTATATTAAAAACTTTAAAATTTTTTTAAAATATATTCTTATTTAGGGCTTACTTACCTTCTGCATCGAAATCTATTTCCTCTTCTTTACAACAGCCGGAACCCATTTAAAAGTATGTAGGAGGGGTAAGTTAAACTTAAACACAGGGGTTATAATACAAGTCGAAAACACCGGGTATGAAATGAACCAAACTTTTTCTATATATAAAGTCTATTATATAAAGATATATAAAATTTTAAAGTTCATTTAAATGCAGCCAAGTGAAAAGTAATTGAAAGATTTAATAATGGAAAATATTTAGTAACGGCCCCGCCGGACTAATAAAAAAAAAGAAAGAAAATTGCTAGAAAGTAAGATCGTAAATAGTTACGAAGTATCAAATAAAAACTGTACAAGTAAAAAGTCAGAAAGAGCGGCTAAACGAAAAAAGGAAGGCGAAGAGTCAAAAGGATAAGATTAAAGTGAGGGGTAAAATAGAAGGCAGAGCCTTCCTTTTGTTTGTAAAGATAAAAAAAATACCGAAACAAAATCGTCAATTACTTTGTTACCATTATTGTAATTTCAAATTACACAGAACTGCATAATAGGACGTAAAAATTATATTGCTTGTGTTTCTCGTGTATAAAATTTATTCTAATTATGGTGATAATTTGCATCACTATTTGAATTCAGAATCTTTTAACCTTGTTTACTAAATTTCGTGGCTCCACATTTTTTTTGTTCATGGAGAAATCCAAATGCTGTTTGACATACAAAGAAAAATGGTTTGATTGGTTTGTTTGATCACAAAGAAGGCAAAGACTGTTACTCAATTGTTATTAGTATTGGCATTTTCTGAAATAAATAGCATTCTTAAATTATCAAAAACAAATCACGTATGAAGTCACTTCAACGAGCGAGTGATGACGATTATTAACCTTTATTACGACATTTATTACTACCTTTGTCTCAGGGACCGGTAAAAATTTATATAAATTTGGAAATCATATAAATAACATCAATGTTTGCCGGTCCCGCTATCTTGTCTACTTTATCCGCCTTATCCGCTTTGTATACTTTGTGTGATAATGTCATTTACGAATACACCAAAGAATTCCAACTTCAACGTTAATACTTTGAAACTTACTCCTGAAAAATTGGCTGAATGGTCCAAACGACGTGCATCAAACACTCACAATAATGAACCTTCACAACAGTCGTCCAATGACTTTCCTTCACAACCGCCAACTAACTGCGCATCTGACCCTCAGGAAATAGATGTAAGCGTTTTTTCTTAACAAAATTTTTGCTTATTTATTATTATTATTATTATTATTTGTATTACAGCACCGTTTGGAAACGATTGAGGCATGTAAGGATTTACGTGGTATTTGTGATGTTTTTATATTTGTTTTTTTTTTTTATATCAATTCTCATACTTTAAATTATTCTAGCCATAGAAAAAATTCAAGAATCCCAACTTTATATGAGTCAGGATCTTGATTATCTTGAAAAGTCCTTGGAATCTTTCGAAGACGAATTAGCCGTAGCACGAGGTAACATATTATATTTTATTATATATTTTATTTATTTTTGTTTTTTAATAAAAAATTACCTTCTAAATAAAACGAATTATGCCGGTTCTGATTTAGTAAGTATATGCGAGTTAAAGCAAGATACTGCTAGACAAATCACGATTAATATATTTGAACAGATTGAGGAGATGACAGGCATATTTAAAATAGATATCGATATGCAATAATAATAATTCTAATAATTCTGTGTTTATTTATTTAATATATGCAACAATTTGTGTTATGTTATAACATTCCTAATTTGGACCCAATGTTCGCTCGTGTACTCTCGTGTTAAAAATAATACGTATACATGAATACATATACATGAATACATATAATAAGTGTTTCTTTGACAAATCAAAAAATGCGGCTTTTAGCTTATACTAAATCAAGAAATTTATGCATTAAATGTTAAAATTAATTTGGTTAATTGATTTTCTGCTCACCTAAGTCTGTGCACTAAACTCTTTGAGTCGAATGTGTCATTTCATATTAACGATTACGATAATTAAATCTGTTAATATTATTCGAAATATTTATATAATCATTAAATATTATTCAAACCGTTTATAATCATTCGAGACTTGATTGTTCAAAGTTTCAGTTTAAAATCAGCTGAAAGTTTTACAATTAAAATTTTCAATTAAGATTTCTTATCTTACTGTTTCCACGTACCGTGTTAACCCGGTTAATAATATATATATATAATATATACGCATAATTATGCATACTGTAAAATAAGCTCCCTTTTTTGCATGTAATGCGGGCCAAAATTGTCATAGTATAGGCCAGGGGTGCTTATTTTCGGTATTTAGTATATTCTATCTTTTAAATTAGTATTGTACACGGGATAGTTGAGGCAAAATTAAGGGTTTAAAAAATGTTAACTCAAATTTTATTAATGATTTTTTAGCTCTTAATAAAAATAGTTAAAATTTAATTTTTATACATCTTTGATATGCCAAAAAATGAGATTGATGAAACGTTTGGGTAAGTCCAAAAGAAACTCGATATATATATATAATATTGCCGTAAATGGTAAACGATCACAATGTGTTTTTACAATTATTATCTTTGCTTTATTTTTTTAAGATGAACCAAAATTTATATATATAGTAGAATTTAAGTTATATATAGTATTACTCTATATAATCACCTCTTATATATAAATTATTTTATTATTAAAAAGCCTTCTATATAATTATAAAAGTATAGAATTTGTTAAATAATTTTAATAATAAAATCATTTTATTTATTTATTTATTTAGAACTTAGTTTCTTTAGAATTTTTTTTTTTTTTTTTTTAACTTTAGCAGTCATGCTAGTACTTTATTAGGATTCTTGAAACTATACAGATTACATAGAATTTTCCTGATATATAAGTTTAGCATTATTCGGTCACCCAAATGGTACCTAAGTATGATCTGTCACACTATCCCAGTTAGAGATAGACTGCTCATCTGACTGCCACCCTACAATAGGATATTGCCAATCTAATAACATCTTTTCATAAGAAAGCAAAAAACAAAAAAAAAAGAATTTTTTTATATAAAAAACAAAACAGAAGTATAGAGATAAATGATAAAAGATACAAATCAAGAAATAAAAAGAAAAAGAAAATAAATGAAAAAAAGGAAATATATGAAACTTGCAATTCATAAATATCAGACAGTCACAATTGTATGCCTATGTCAGGCCTTTAAAAATTATAAACTATAGTAAATAGAAATAACTCTACTATTTTTCTATTTCTTAGATTATTTAACAAAAAACCATATAGCAAAGAAAAATTCTTCAACTTGATTGTAGAGGGTCGGTATAGAGCACTATTTAGTCCAGAGGTAATATTTTCAGGTTTTTAGTATTTTGAGACATGTGTATAGTCATGTTTGTATTACTGTCTTATTTTGATCTATGTCATCAACAAACCTGTTTAGAAAGTAAATACTGCTGACTGTTTTGGTAGGTTTATTTATCAATCTTTAGAAGAGAGTAAACTAAATTATCCACTTTTACAAAATTTCCTTGAAGCAAAGTAAAGGCAAGAAGTAAACCAACTTTGTAGTTTTTGTGAGTTCTTGATTTTTATAGATATTCTTTGTAGATTTAACAATTATATAAAACTAATATATCCAACTTTGTTGTTTACTTTATAAAAATCTTTGGCTTTTACCAACTACTTCTTTTATAGTTCCAAAGTGCATTTAAACTGTCACCACAAAGCTACAACTTCTTTTTTAACTTTATTTCAATGTTTAACTATGCTTGTACAGTATTCTGAAAAAGTTTTTATAAAGTTTAATATATTAACTATATTATTTTTCTGTAGTTCGGCTTTTTGAAAAGTTTGGTTCAAATGATTGTTGAAAAGAGTTCTGGTTTCTTTGGAATTAGAAACTTTTTATTCAATATTAGAACATAATAATTTTAAAAAAAAATTTTACATTAAGAAGTACAACTAATTATATATATATTTTTAATATCTAATTGCTTACATTATAAGTTCTATATTAGATATTATATCAGCAACTCAATTATGAGTATAGATTATTTATTTAAATCTTTTATAATATAATTTTATTTTGTATTATTGTAATATCTAGTATATATATTAGTTAAGAAATTACAAATACTAAACTATATTTTTAAAACAGCAAATGTATATTTTTAAAACATTATTATTAGAGTCTTTTGTAGTTTATTTCTATAGCTAATCTAGTTTCTAACTTTTATAAAATTTATATAATTTCAATATTTTTTTTACAACTTTATTAATAGTTTGTTTATCTTTACAAGTTCTTTTATATTTTAATTTAATTAACTATTATAATAGAATTTATTTTTTTCTATATTAGTATATATTTATTTTTAGCTCTATATTATATTTTATATTTTTTCTAATATTTTTACATAGTTTATAGATTATTTTATTAGTTTTAATCACCTATTTAATAGGTTAATATTTATTTTATTAGTAGATTTCTTATAGTATTTTATTATAACCAATAGTTGTTGGAATATCTAAAAATACAGTTGTTTAGTGTTACAAGAGCCCTGACCAAAGGCCACAAGTCATGTCTCAGATGCTCCAGGTGTCCTAGGACTAGGGTGGGTGGTGCAAGATAGATGGTGTCACCAATAGTATTTCAAAATCGGGCATGCTATGATATGCCAAATTGGGCATAGCACAAGAATGACGAGCCAATCACAATAAAGCTTAGTTTCAATGCATTGGCTTAATTTTTTATGTACTATAATATTAAAAAAAAGTTCTAGAGTTATTATAATCAAGATAACATTGTATAATTTTCTGATTAGCAATAATATATCAAACAAATATACAATAAAATTATATAAGTTATGCAACTGTGTTCTTGATTATAATACTAAAATAAAAAAAATCGATTGGTTAAAGCTAAATAAAGTGGCTGCACAATATGTGTGCACCAAAATCAGGAACAGATGAACCAGTAAATTATATTTAATGTTCTGAAAATTTAAAATTATAATAGCTTAATATTGTAACTATAAGTTATTATACATATTTAAAAATTTTATTTATTTATGCATATATTGTTGTTATTTTTAAAGGAGGCTATTTTTTATACCCTCTATTTTTATTATTCGTACCCCTCATAACATAAATTTCTGATATTCATGTGATCACGTGCAATGATAATCATTGCTTGAAGCGTGATTAGGCAGTAGCGCTGTACACATTACATACAAATATAGATATTAAACCATCATTTACTTTGACATCTGTATTTCTGTATTTACGTATGTTCAAGTACAAAAAATAAAATCTTGAATTGTTTGTTCAACAAGAGATAATAACCTGTTTATATAATGTACATTAAGTAAAATTACAGAGTGTTTAGGATTATTTTGACGATACGTATGAGGAAATACCATTATTTTAAATTGATGCTTCAATAGAATTATGTTGACTTATTATTAGAATTCCAGGCAAATAAAGTAATAATAATGTAATATTGAGTGAAATTACAGAAATGACTAGATTATCTTGATGCTATAAGGAAGCTTTGTTATTGGGTTGACACTTCAATACGATGATGTTGACTCAATGTTCGTTAGAATTAGTTGTTTCAAAGTATTGAGAATTATTTCGTTTCTGGGTAGCTAGGAGAATTGTTATCCCAACATTGTTTATGAAGTCAATAATATTAGGTGATATACTTTTATGAGTCTTCTTTAAGTAAAAAAAACATACTAGCCTGTTATTAAGGGTTCAAATGTGTCAGTAACTCCCTGTGATTGTAATGAAATTTTTATTACAATCTCACTCTTGTCAGTAAATTTAATTCAACCTTTTTTAAATATGAATTTGATAGCTAAATTTAATTCAAAAATCAAAAATCTGGCACTTGAATTTAGCTTAATTCATAAATTTATCATGATACATCGTTATGACAAGGGTCTTTGTTAAATGTTTTAACAATCAAAAAAATATAATCAATTCTCTTTGAAGCTTTTTGACTATACATGAGGTGTCTAATTATTTATTTTAAAATGAATTTTTTAGCTAATCTTGACGCAAAAATACCATTCCTGATGGAATTTAAAAAAAATTTATTTAAATACGTTCCTGATATGGTTTTAAAAACGAACCCTAATCCTTACTGTTTTCATATATTTCACTATAGTAATATAATATTTAAAGGCCCTTTTTTAGAACCCTATCAGGAACTGTATGTAAATCAATATTTGTTTCTTGCCCTATCAGGAACAGTATCAATGATTCAAAATGGTATTTTTGTAATCTCAACATTCAAACAATAAAAAAAATTATATAGCATCTCTAAATCAAAGCAATTTAGCAATAAGTTCGGCTTTTGTAGTGCACTGACCACAATACCCTTTTTCAATACCCCTGTGCAAAATACTCTGGTCAGTCACTATTAATTAAAGTGGTTTTTTTTTGAAAAAATTTCTAGATTGTTTAGAATAAATATAGAATACGTGTAATTGATCTTTCTTGCGACATTGGCCTGTTACAGCTATTAGACCTGGGTCCTTTAGTCAGTGCACTACGATAGTTATCATTATAGCTGCCTATGGTAAATAAATTGCTTTTTTGTTAGTAATCTTGCAACTTGATATGTGTATTCTATTATAAACTCATTTCTTTTAACAAAATGATCGTTAGATGCTAGTTAAAATAAGGAAAAGAATACTAAAATAGTATAAGGTATTGATTTCAATTAGACTGTATGATTAATGAAATTACATACGTATAAGTAGCATACGTACAAGTATGAAGATAATAAAACCTAAAATGGTGTGGCTTTGGAAAATGGCTTAAATCATTCAACTGGCGAGAAAAGAAATAAGTATTAAAATGGTATAAGCATAAATGCTATAATAAGAAAGCAATAATCCTAAAGAGTGTAGAGTGTAGCTATGGAACAGATTGCAAAAGCACATGAAAGTGAACAATAAATTTTGAATTAGCTACTAAATTTATTGATCACTCTCATAAGAATGCTAAACACAAATTGTATAAGTATAAATACTATAATATGTGTGTAAAATTCACTAATGTATTAGAACAAAAAACTATATAAAAAGCAATAATCCTAAAAGGTATAGGGTGTGGCTATGAAATAGGTCACGAAATGCGCATGAAAGTGATTAATAAAATTTGAATTAGCTACTAAATTATTGATCACTTTCACGAGAATTGCTAAACACATCCCAAGCTGCACTCTACACTTTTTAGATTTTTAGCAAAAAGATAGATATAATAAATCCCAATAAGACATAGCATGTGGCTCTGAAATAGATTGTGAAAATTCGCGTAAGAGAAAAGATGAATCTAAGATTGTGAAGAACAAATATTCTGAATTAAAAAGGAAGGTAAAATAAAAAACATTTATTACACAGCCTAAAGATTAGATAAAGTGTATATTAAATTAATAAAAGTAAATAAAAATTTTTCATAAATGCATTTAAAATATAAGAAGGGTTTGAAAATAAAAGTAATTATAGATTAGAAATAATTTAATAAAAATACCTTGCTTTGCTCTTAAAATTTCTTCAAAACTATAATAAATCGTGCACATTTTGATTGTTAATTTGTATTTGTGACCTTTGTTTCTTGTAATCCTTCGTTCCTTGTAATTTTAACTCTGTTTTCACCATAATCATTTCTGAAATAAGCAAAATATTAATTTACGTGAATTAAGTTTTAAGATATATCGATTGCACCAACAAATCTTTATACAATAAGTTGTTATTGTTCTTGTTATAATAACCATGCTTCCACCTCCTCCTGAAGTACATAATAGCACCGATGAACTTTTCCATAATGCACAAAGATTTGCAAATTCTCAAGGGTACACCCTAGTTAAAAAAAGAACTCAGAAGGATAATCATAATGAATTAAAAAATATGTCAATACATTGTGACTGAGGAGGTGTTTATAACAACTCTTCTGGTTTTGCTAAAGAAATACATAACAGAAAAACAAGCACCAGATTAATCGATTGTCCTTTTGAATTGTATGCAACTCGACGAAATGGCTTGTGGCACTTGGAGGTTCGTAATACTATACATAATCATGGTCCCTCAAATGATATGTCAGGACATCCTATTGTTTGTCGACTAACAGAAGAACAAAAAGAAAGTGTTGCAATAATGACTACATCCAGTTCACATCCCTGTGAAATTATATCAACATTTCGACAAAATGATCTGTCAACGTTAGTCATTAGCAGTAATATTTATAATATGCATGCCCAGCTTCAGCAACAAAATCTGGCTGGTAGAACACCTATTCAGGCTTTAGTAGATGAACTTCAAGAAGGAGATTTTTTATATAAGTATAAGTGTGATAATAATGGTTCAGTTACTCACTTATTTTTTGCACATAAAGAATCGATCTCTCTTAGCCATCAATATCCTATAGTAATTCTTATAGATTGTACTTACAAGACTAACAAATTTAAAATACCTTTATTAAACATCATAGGTATAACCAGCTTCAATAAAACTTTTTTTTCTTGTTTTATTTTTATAAAAGATGAAGAGGAGGATGATTACAAATGGGCCCTTACAAATGTTATGAGTATATTTGATAGAATGCAAAAACCCAGTGTTATAGTAACTGATAAAGAGTTGGCACTTATGAATGCCCTCAAAATTATCTTTCCCAAATCAACAAACCTACTTTGTGTGTGGCATATTAGTAAGAATGTCCTAAAAAATTGCAAGCCGCAGTTCCCTAAAGAAACCAATGAAGAAGAAAGTGGTGAATGGCAAAGTTTTCTTGCAAAGTGAAATGATATTGTTCAATCTGAAACAGAAAGCAAATTTGATGTAAAATGGAATAATTTATGCTTTGCTTATGTTAATAAACCTAGTGTAATATCTTATCTTCAGGAAACCTGGATACCATAGAAGGAAAAATTTATAAAAGCCTGGACAAATCAATTACTTCACTTGGGCACAACTGTAACTTAATGTATCGAGAGTTCGCATGCAACATTAAAAGTGTACTTACAAACATCTACGGGGGATCTTCATCACGTTTATATGACAATATCATTAGTAGTAACCAACCAGAGAAAAGAATTTAATACTATGATTGCATCAGAGCACATTCGTATTTTGGCTTTTGCTACTTATAATTCTCTATATTCAAATATTAGGAGTAAAATTAGTAATATGTATAGTTATCATTCAAACTATTTTGAACAGCTCAAACCATATGATGATTAGCATTATATGTAGTTTATATTAAGACCAGGTTAAAACCATATTTAATGCTAATTATCATGTGGCTTGGGCCATCCAAAATAGTTTGGATAGTAACTATAGTGATATGGATCAAAATTTGATTAAATATCTAGTTGACTAAGTTGCAACTAAATAATTAATCAATTTTTTTTAAAAAAATAATCAATTAACTAATCAATTATATTTTTTGCATGGATTCATAACATTAGGTAAAGTATCAAGCTTTGCACTCAATAAGATAAATGATTAGTATCAGAAGGCAAAATGTGCTACCGCACAAGAGCCCTTACCATCATGTACTGGAACTTTTACAAGAATGATAGGCTTACCTTGTGCTCATTTTATTCAGCATCTGGAGAAGAATCAAAATCTAATGCTTAATGACATTCATAAACATTAGTGGATTCTAGGAAACATACCGACGCTGCAGGTTAAAGAAAATAGTTCTGATTTTGAAAACCCCCTACAACCTCTCTTGCATGATCTATAACAAAGGTATCAAGAATAGCCAGAATTCTAGCAATTAGTGGTACAAGATATTTTGAAAAACCTGATCGATGAACCATCAATGACTTTACAAAATCCTAATGTGGTTCACACAAGAGGCCGTCCCTCTGGAGCTCCTAATCACCAGAAAAATAACTCGACATGCAGAGATCCCTCTAGCTTTGAAATGGTAGAACACAAGGGTAGGCATTGTGCCATTTGTCGACAACCTAGGCATAATGCTCGTACCTGCACAAATAAAAAATAGCAGTATAAAAAAGTTTAGTTATTTGATGTATAAATGAACTAAAAGAAATAAAAGTTCGCTTATGGCGTAGATCAGATTTTAAAGTTCACAACTTCAGACCTGCTTATTTATTTTTTTCGAATACATGTTAATACATGCAAATAAAATAACCCAAATTTGAAAATGTTACACTTTACCATTAGTGTACTATAATGATAATGTTAATCGACAGATCAGTACATAGTAAAACTGGATAGAAAAAGATTGGTTGCTTAGTTATAAACGATTTGGTATAAACGATTTGGTACGTATAAGTTGTTACGATCCAAGATTTTTTTCTTTTTTGTACGTAGGTACAGGTATCAAAAGTGCTATACCCATGTCGAAGGTTTAAAAAAAAAGTACAGTACATAGACGATTGTTTAACATCTAGATTTGTATGTAATGTATATAATGCTACTGCCCAATAGCATTCTAAGCACTGATCATTATTGCACGTGATCATGTGAATATCAAAAACTTACGTTATGAGGGGTATGAATAATAAAAATAGGAGGTATAAAAAATAGCCCCCTTTTTAAATTGCTACATTATAGCATATATTATAATTAATTGCTTGAATGTTGTAAAAACTGTAAATTCTTACAGTAAACTATATTACAGTAATATGCATCACTGTTATGCTGTTTTTATAATTCTGTATTGCAATATTGTTATAATGCTTATTAATTCTATTTATGTTAAATTGATAATTTTATTAAATAACTAAAGTATATGCACTAAAAATATTCAGATTTTTTCTGTAATTTGAGGCAAGCTAAATTGTTTTCAAAGAATTTGTGTTATATAAATGCTACAATTTAGTGCATTCATTTAACTTAAAATTATCAAAAATATTTGTTTACCATTGAGATATCAGTTTGGTTTCATTTACTTATAATAAATGCATCATCAAATAATGTTGATATCTCGAGAACATATAAATAAAATATCTTAATTAATCAAATATTAAAAATTATAAGTAGCTGTTTTATGTACGTACATAAATAGAAAATGACTGAAAAAGTGTCTAAATTAGGTGATATTTCAAAACTTGATTAATCATACATACCAAAATATATCAGTTGTACATTGTAAAAGGCAGGATCGTCCTTTCTAAAAAGATAGTACAAATTTCTGGAATTCCTAGAATTCCTGGAATATGGGTAATTCAAAAAAAAGTAGAAAAAGTGAGAATAGCAAGTATAATAAGAAAAGCTAGAAAAATTAGAAAGTTAGAATAGTTAGAATTCATATTATTTTTGTATATGTTAAAAACTATTATAAAATGGAGACTTTCTCCAGAAATAAAACATAACTTGTGGAGTTCTAAAAGTAAAAGCCTTCAAAATTAGAGTAGAAGTGTTGTTTATAAGTAAAAATCCATTAAATTACATTATCTCCAAGTTGTTAAAATTATTCGTCTTGTAAATCTTGTCTGATTATCATATACTCTATAGAGTTTTGAACCAGAATAAGAAAAAGTATCAATTAATAAGCAGATCCTCTTATATGTAATTTTGCCTCTGATTAAAATAGTGATTAGCTTACTATATTTAAAAATCAGTACCTGTAACTGATCAGGATTGTAACTTGTGATTATATAACACTGCAATTGTGGTTGTTAATCCAATTTAGCTCTTATAGTTCATTTATATCGGGATTTATAATACTTGTATATGTGATATAATGTCATGAAACTTTTAAACTGAGTCATGGTTATCACTTAATAGATCAATCTTCAATTATTTGGGGGGGTAATTTATTATATAACAATAAAATAAGAAAATGCAAGATAACAATAACAAAATAAGATTACAATAATAAAATGATAAATCTAAATTACTAAACTAATACTCATATGTGAGAATTCGATTTTTAATATAAACTCAAAGACATTGAAGGTTCTTCTGAGACACTGTTTGAGGAAACTTTCCAAAGCCAAAAACTTAGGCTTTAAAACCTTTTACTTTATTAAGAGTTACTATGCTATTTATATCTTACTTTTACCTTCGCAGTAATCAGTCTTCGGGTTATGTTAAATAGTTACCAAATATTATTCACATGCGGCTTCATCTTTGCTAGCATTTTGCATGTCATTCTGCTCGCAATCTATCAGCCTCCTTCATCTATCATACGATTTATATGATTACTTTATTTACTATTTATTGTATGTTTGGATAAACAAACAACCAGACTAGACCTATGCCACTAAGCCTCCTCTTGCCACCTAATATTCTTGTAACTCTGGTCATTTAATCATTTAGTACTACCAAGTTACCTCTAAGTTACAGATTTAATTCTAAAACTGTGATACTGTAAACCAAGTTCACGATCATAGTAGTATTACTAAGAAGAGTCAAATAGAGTTAGTAAAGTGATCTAAAACCAACATAATGACTAAAGGGACAACTAAAGGATACTTATCTATAATGGCACTATTTCTATAACCTTCCCTAAGCCTGATTACTTGGACCAAGTCTTCATTACTACATTAGGGTTGGGTTATTGTGTTATAAGAGTGATAGTATTAGTGTATAATGAGTTATTCGATATCAACTCTGCAACTATTCTGATGCAGCTTGAACTTTTACAACATACAGAACACTTTTATACATAAATAGAAATGGCCAAAAAAGTGTAAATTAGACAATTTAGTAAATTTGATATAATACAATACATGTGAAAGGAAATCAGTTATGCAATGCCCCAGATTGCATAACACAATCACTCTATATATTTTATTTTCCTACAAAAAGCCAGTACTAAGTATGAAGGATTCTGCAGAATTGACGAGATTCTATTAATAATAAATTGGCCAAATAGCCTTATTCTGTATTATTATCATGTTTGGATAAATTTATTATATTTGCATATGATACTCAAAGAATTTATTAAATTTTAATATAATAGTATGAAACCTATGCAGTATTTAACTCTATAATATAATTGCTTCTATGCAGTTTCATATTTTTATATTTTAATTATTTATTCTCTTACAATAATATTAATTTGGGAGCTATCTGTATTAAGTTTTTTTTATTATTTAGATTCTTTTCGATTTATTGATTTATTAAACAAATTGGTTAGTAAAATATTGTAAATAGTAGTTTAAATTGAAAGTTAATAATTTAGACTATTTTTGTCATAAATCTTAATGCTAGGCTTTAGTCTGTTTCAGTGACTAATTACCTTTAATGTCAGTAATATTTGTATTTTCAAAATATGTTTTATAATATTCTTAGCCTTACTTTTTTTTTAATTATCAAAACTATATAAAGCTACTTAACTTAGTTTCCATTTAATATTTTTAAATATAAATTATCAAAAAAAAATCTAATACTATGGATTCTGATGAAGATTTTATAACTTTGATTAATACTTTTAATACTATCATAGACTCTGATGATATTGTAACTTCATCAAGTGCTATGGGTGCACAGGATGATTCAGAAGATGATGAATTTATAACTCTATCTAATAATTTTGGTACTCATTGGACAGGTTTTTTACGTTCAAAGCAAGTTAAAAATACCAAATCATGTCGATATAATGCCAAGTGTTCATATTGTAACAAGGTATTTGAAGTATGAAAAGAAGCAATGATAAGTCATATAACAAATATCTGTTAAAAAATATTAGCTGATGATAAAATACTTTATATATGAAAAATTAATAAAAAAAATCCTGAAAATATATTCAAGTCTTACTCAGATGAAGGTATAGATATATCTTCAAAAAATGTAAAGCTACCTTGACAGACTTTTTCAACAAGGCTTCAATTTCACTAAATAAAATTAATAAGCTTCATACTTTATTATTACAATCATTAATCTAAAGTAATGTTCCATTTCGATTTGTTGAAAATCCATTTTTTGCTTTATTTTTAAAAAAATTATACTCAAGTTATAATTTACCTTCGAGATATATAT